GAGATCATGGAAGGAGTCGAAGCAGAGGAAATGAGACTGAGAGCAAAGAAACTAGCGAGGATGGCGAGGGAGGCTGTGGAGGAAGGAGGATCTTCTTACTCTGACTTGGATATTCTTGTCGAAGATCTTGTGGGGCTTTCAAATTGAATGACATGAAGTAGAGTTTTGTGCTTCAATCCGAATCATCAAGCGATAAGGGTTCCTTTGACTCTTATTGGTAACTCTGCTGTTGACATCAGCTTCATGATGAATAATGTTCCAAGTTTGTTCCCTACCTTTGAATTCCCGAATGGCTTATTTTATATATTTAATCAAGCATTTATAGTCAGTTGGATTATGTTAATTTAAAATTGAGAAAAATTATAATGACCAACAAATTAATTTTTCCTAATCAAATTAATAAATTATCTTAAATCAGAATCATTTTCAATTTTACTTCTCATTAGCACTATCATTTTTGTCATCATAAATTATAAAATCAGTAAGGTCTAAAATCTTAAATTTATTTTGGTGGGATGTTTCTTTTTGAATTTTAAAAATGGTACAATATCATTCTTATTATTAATAAAAATTAATTATAATCATTAGTTAACATAAAAATGACAGAGTAATACCTCATAGCCGATAAAGTAACAAATGCTTACAAACAAGGACATGTCACATGACAAATCACTAATCATATGTGGCAAAGTCCGTTAGTAATTTAACGATTCTGTAAAGGGAAGGAGGTTTTATAGATAAAATAAAATATTATTCAGTGTAACATCATATTTTTATTTGAGAATTTAATTTAAGAAAATTATAAGATTAAGTTTTTATTTAAAAATTTAATTTAAAAAAATTATAAGGTTTAATTAAAAATTAAATTGTATTTTGAAAAAAATTGAGGCTAATAAGTTTGGGCTTCTTTCTTGTGTCGAAAAAATCCAATATTAAAACCCATTGTGAGTTTTACTAAGTGAAGAAGAGAGGAGTTAGAATATCCAGATTTAATCATATTACTTAGTAGCCTATAAATTCAGTCAAAAAAAATAAGGAGGTTATAAAATGGTAGATGATCATGCATGCATATTTAGGAAAATATGTGATACTATGTGTGAATCTTTGGTATTATATATGAATATGTGGTATTATATGTGATTATGTAGCTTGGGATATGAATTGTTTGCTTACACAACCTTAAATGCTATTTCAATATATGTTAGAAGTTATAAATTTTTTAATTACTAAGATGTTTATCTCACTCATTATTGCTAATCGTTTTATAGGTGACAATTTGAGTAGGAAAGGGGAAAGGAACAGGAGGCACACAATCAGTAAAGTGTGTTTGTAATGCCTCTTAGTGTACTTGTATAGGGAATTTATATGTTTTATATTCATATATATTGCCAACTAGGATTATTAGTACATTTTGATTCATAAGCATGTGTAATTGTTGGGGTTAATGTGGTTAGTCTGTGTGGGTCAAGCTCTTATGAGCTATGGTTGACTAACTAAATTTAATGTAAAACTATGTTTATATTTAATAAGTAAGAGGTATGATGGGATCATATCATAGCATAGGATAAGCAGTGAAATGATATTGCCCTTGTGGTTATTTGTGCTTTGGGACCAGTAGGGAGGTCAGAATATGTTATGATATATAGTGACTAGATGTGAGGTGTGTTTGTTGTCACAGTAGAATTTTGGATGTGGTGTGAGACTGATGTGAGGCCGAATGGTCTGGTTGTCTTGCTTGTCATATTTTATCAAGGGTGGATTTATGTATGCTTCCGTTGAGCTATATAATTTGATCCTCTAGGTTGAGCTCGATGATGTTAGTCAGTGGTTTATTAATCGGGATCTCATTTGCAGAGTATTTTCCAATAAGATATAACTTAACTCTTTTACCTTGGTCATTCTTAATGACTATGGATCCTTGATTGATAGCGGATAAATTGGTAATACGAAATTACAAGGAGGCCCTTAATTAAGTTTTAAATGTTAGGGAAATTATGTGATGATCACTAAGTTGCCTGTGTCAGTTTGTTCTAAATTAGAGAGAATGCAGAGCATTCATTTGGGGCATAGAGTGGAAGAGAGGGAGTTACAATTGTTGGGGTGGAATGAAATTCAAAAACCTTAGGAGTTTGGAGGGGTGTTGATTATGCAATCGATGAATAATGCTTGTCTTATGAAAATGCCTTGGAATTTGAGGTCTAAAGAGTTGAGGGTCAGATACAGTGAAGGTTGGGAGATTTTCGATGAAGTGAAGATTAGAAGGAATGATTCTGCATTGTGGAAGGATATGGCTGAGGTGTGGAACCATTTAAGTGGCAATTGGTGGAAAGAGGTTCTGAATGGGAAAGGCCCTTCTTTCTGGCATGATAACTGGTTAGATCAAACATTTTAAATTGCAGGATGTGCTTATACGGCCTTCACCAGAAAGTCTTAGTGAGTGGAAAGTGTGTCTTTGAATGAAGTGGTGGAATGGAATTGGGATCTATTCGAATGAGTTGATGATGCCTGCGGATGCTAGAGACAGATTGTCTTCTATGGTAAAACCTCTTGTTGAAGAAAGGATGGATAGGTTTTGTTGGAAAGGAGGCCATCAAGGTGACCTTTCCGTTAAGAGTGCTTATGAGAGGCTGATGAGACATCTGTGGGGGAAATAAGGAGAAAGTTCGGCAGCTGATATGGAAGTGGCTTGGTATTGAGCGGATTCGGATGTTTTTATGGTTGATGGCTAAAGGGAGGCTTCATACTGCATAACTGAGATGGAGGAGATAGGGAGCTGTTCCAAATCGAAAAGCCTGTGGGGCAAGTTGAAACAGTGTTTCATGTAATGAGGGGCTGTTGCAAGGCAAGAAGAGTGGGTTGCTATCATGCAGTAGATGCTGAGTTGTGGGGGTGATTCATTCATGGCCTTGAACAATGTTGGAACCTGGGGGTGGAATGTTAGTAGATAAGAAAATTAAAAAAAAAAAAATTATCCTAAAAATTCCAAATAAATTCTTGATAAAAAAAATTAATACCAATTAAATCTCAAAAAATTCAAATAAATGTTAAAGATTTATGTTATTTCTTATCCATATAATATATTTAAATATCATTTTTACTAACAACTTTGACCAGCATTTAACATCTCTTGGTTGATTATCAAACGACTCTCACGAATTTGGATAAGGGACGGATACAATAGGACGAGCAATGATAGAAGTTTACTTTGTAAAATGTGTATATTTTCATTCGTAACACATATGAAAATTAATTTTAGCCCCCTCTATTAATTTTTGAATTGATCTCTAGTCTGGGTCTTATTATCCTTTCTCTCATTTTTTTTTTCCTCATCTCATCCCCACCTTTGAATTAAAAATTCAACAATTAAGATTTAATCAAATTTATTTGTTATTTTAATTATAGTTTATATTTATTTTTCAATAGTAGACTCTTCAGATAAAATTTAAACAATTTAAATCTATTTGTTTATTTATTTATTTTCATTGTAGTAATTTTTATAAAATATCGTTGAATTTTTAATTTAAAGTTGATGAGGGGATGTGGGGAAAATAAGAGAAATGATGAGAGGATCCATTTTAGGAAAGGAAAAATGGGATTAATCTTTAAAGCATAATTTCCCCAAAACAAATCTATATTAAATTGGCAAATTTTTAGTTTTACCCCAATCTAACCCCCCCCTCTCTCTCTCTCTCTCTAATTGGGAAAATATCATTTGAGGACTCTCGGAGATAATTTATATCAAAGAAAGACTATGAGATTCTAAAATTGCACTATAGCCCTTTGATACTTGACTGAAATTAAGTTTTTATAGGAAAAGATGACATTACCTCTAAAGTTTAAAATAACAATAATAAAATTGCTGTTAAAATTTAAATATGTTGTTAATTTTAAATGAATTATTGTCAAATCTCAAATAGATACTTATTGATGAAAGATTAACATTTGAACAATTAAGGCAATCCTATCAGTTTTTTTACTTTGTTAAAGTTTGAAAGTGGTGTTGTTAATCATGAATAAGTTATTTTTCAAACTCAAATGGCTCGTTGTTAATGCAACGTGAATACTTGTTACATTAAACCTGTGCTCGATTTTTTTATCTTGTTAAAGTTCAAATGTGTTGCTGTTAATCACTCGAATGGTTTGTTGTTTTTGCAATGTAAATAGTTATTTTATTAAACTTATGTTGTCACTTTTTTTTATTGTGTTAAGATCTAAATATATTGTTAATCATGAATGTAGTATTGTTAAAACCGGAATAAAGTATTCTTAATATCTTGCACATGAGTTTTTTTTTTAATTATTTTAAACTTTAAGGACAATGACATCTTTTCTCACAAAAAGTTAATTTCACTGAAATACCAACAAGCTATAGTGCAATTTCATAATCTTATAGTCATTATTTAATGTAAGTTACCTCTTGAGGTTTTCAGCGGTATTTCTCCTTGTTTGTTGCTCATAATATCTTTTTATTGGAGGCGAGGAAGCAATTGTATTTGAGATATAATTAGGTATTAAATGTGAACACCTTTTTAATAAAAATTCATATCTTGATTCATTATGTTATGAAAAATTAACTTCTTCAATTAGATCTAACCCTTTATTAGTTTGTAAGCATAAATAATAGGCTCTGCTAACACCATAAAATATCTCTCATAAAGTACTGAGAGTAATGTGTAGATTTTTTCAATTAAATTAATACTTTTTTAAATTACAATATAAATTATTGTTAATTAACTTATGCCTTTCAGAAGAAGTTGGTTAATATTTTGATATTCTCACATATTTTTATTTATACCGTTGAGTGAAATATTTAAAACTACCATCATTAATTACATTATTTCATTAAAGCAAGGGCATAGATGTCAAAAAACACATAAAATTTATCCAACAACTTATATTTTAAACCAAGAAGTTCTTATAAAAAATGACTTATGTTATAATTCGCAAACTTACATAAGGGCCAAATTCAAATATCAAACTACTTTCAAGGGACGACCACGTAAATTTTAATTGGTTAATCTACCCATTAAAAAAGGTAACTAAGTGGAGACACGCGCTGGTAATGCTGATACCGTTGACAAATTTAAACATTTTCACAAGATAAAATCTTAGAAAATAAACTACTAATTTGTCTTGAAACAAGTTTGGCGGCGAAGTGTAAGCTCATGAATGCATGCATCAATATCAGCATAAGAAGTGCCTCTTTCATCCACAACTCTCCTTGCTTTGGCTGCAATGTCTCTGATTCTCTCTCTCATCTTCTCTGCTTCTTCACTCTTACCCATCACTTTCCTCACTGCCTTCTCCACCTTCTCTTTCCCCACCACCTCTCTTCGTTCATCCTTCCACGACGCCCACTCTCGACTCCCCACCTCCACTCCCACCTTCAACACCCTACTCACCAACTTCTCGTTCGTAAATTGCTCCGCCGACAACGGCCATGTCATCATCGGAACCCCCGAACTCAGCCCTTCCAGTGTAGAATTCCACCCACAGTGTGTCATAAATCCCCCGACTGATTTGTGTTCTAGTATCAACAGTTGTGGAGCCCAACCCCTTATAATCAAACCCTTCTTCGTTTCGATCGTTCTCTGTTCGAACCCATCTGGGAGCCAATCTGATTCATCCTCTTCCTCTGTTTCGGAGGATTTGAAGATTTTCCCTACAACCCAAATGAATGGCTGATCGCAAGATTCAAGGGCAGAGGCAATTTCCTTGAGCTGTCCCCGAGGTAACCGAGCTAAACTCCCGAAGCTGATGTACAGAACTGAATTGGGTTCTTTTGAGTTCAGCCAATTCAAACAGGTTTGTTCGTCAATCGTAGGAATCTTTCCTCTCTCTGATTTGTCCTCTGTTTTTTGGTTAAACAGAGACACAGGTCCCACGAGCCATGCTCTCGTCTTTATAACATCTCTGAGGTAATCAGCATAGGCCGGTTCCAAATCGTAGAAGCTATTTGTCACGGTCCCGAAGCTATTCTCCTCTGCTTTCTTCCTTCGATCGAATCCTTGAGATGGGTCTCTGATAAATGGCGGAAGCTGCGACCTTGTCAATTCAATCGGGTCAGGGAGACCCGGAACGACAAAGGGATCCGAATCGAAACCCAGTTTCTCGTGCGGAGCATAGTGTGTGACGTTGTGGAAGACACAGTGAGAGAAACAGCCACTACCGTGGAAGACGATCCTTGGGATTTGGAGCTCGTCGATGACATCAGCAGCCCAACGATGGAACATGTCGATGACAATGGCATCGGGACGGAGATCCTGGAGGAGTTGCTGGAGAGGCTGTCGGAGAACGGAGGTGTCTGTGGCGGGGCTGGCGGACATGTCGATGTCGGAGATTTCGAGGTTTGGAGGCAGAGTAAGAATGGAGACGGGAAGGCCGGAATGTTGGTGTCGGGCGATGGACTTGTGGAACTGAAGAGAGTTAGAGAGGGTAGTGATGATGATGGAGTTGGCTCCGTGAGATGCAGAAGCTATGGCGGTGTCGATCATGGGGATCTGATGGCCTCCTCCCACAAAAGGGAAGAAGACCATTTGTACAGAGGCATTTGCAGAAACCATTGCTTCTAAGGAAGAGAGGAAGAAGGGGAAATGGAAATGAAGGAATGAGAGGTGATATACACCAGCTTACACAGCGAAGCTAGTATAGTGAAGAAAGACAGTGAAAGCGAGGAAAGGTCAGGGATGAAACGTCATGAGTGACATACGAAAGCACCTCACTAAAAGTAAACGTGAGAGAGAAGACGACTAATGGGTTTAAAACGTGGACATACTTTTCAGGAGCCACAAAAGGCCAGCAAAATCTTTTGAGAAAATGACAATACAACTCTTATTATGTAACTAATAATTTAATTTCTTAGAATTTCATAATATTAATAAAATTTTTAAAATTTTATTTATTAATATTTTTTAAAAAAATTTATTTTATTTTTATTGAAAATAATAAGTTTTATTTTTAATTTTTATTTAAGTAATCACAATTTTAATTGTATAAATAATAAAAATTAAATAAGAAATCACAATTTATCAAATTAATTTTTGTTATTGACAAACAAGCTCCAATAAGGCAACAACAACTTTTATTCAGTGAATTGAAAAAGTTAAATAAAAAATATAATTTATTAAATGTAATTTTTATTATTAAAAAATAAATTTTTAAAATAATAAATTCTATTCATAACTTTTGTTTAAAGAATCATAATTTTTCTTCAATAATTATAAAAATTAAATAAGAAACTATAATTTATTAATAAGGGTAAAATAATTTTTTTAAAAAAAATTATTGACAAAGAGATCTATAAAGATTTTATTAATATTATGACATTTTCAGAGATTAATTTATTATTTATATAATTTAAAGAGATTTTATCATCATTTTCTCACCTTTTTTTTGTATTTTTCCCAACAAGAAAATGCTTAAAAGCTCAAACCATGCAAGATCTTCTATTAGAGGTGGTTTTTGTGTCTTTATAATAAATATTTATTATAAACGGATGGAGTATTGAAAAAAAAAATTATCTGCACTCAATAAAATATGTGGACACTATTTCTTTAATTGAAAAAAAACAAAAAACCAATAGAAAAAATAAATACATAATCATTCATTTCTATAATTTTATTGAATTATACTTTTAGTTTTTATATTTTTTATTTTAGTTTTATAGAGATTGAAAATATGAAATTATAAGAATTTGAGAAACAAAATATCACTTAATTTTAATGAAATTGTAAAAATTAAAAATACAAGAATTAAAAATAAAACATGATGAAATTATAGTAAATAAGATGCAATGATGCAACGTCATGGGTGACATATATAGAGAATCATAAGGGGGGACGCACGATAGTAACCCACGCAAAAAAAAAAAAAAAAAAAAAAGCACGGTAGTGCCGAGGACAGGAAATATTTGCAGGGTCATAAGATTTAACTACTTGTGAAGCGCATGGGAATGGCCATTCCTTCTATTTTAAATTATAAAATAATTTAAAATAAAATTATTTCATGCTAATAAAATATAACAACAATATTTTACCAACTTATTTTTTAAAAATAAAATTATAAATTTTTAAAAATATTCCTACATAATTAATCATTACGTTATAATATTATTTAATTTTTTATTTAAAAAGTAATATTAAAAAATATTATTAATAAAATCTTAGTTTTTTAAAATTGTCTTATATTTGAAAACAAAAAAATTTCTCCAATATTACCTATAAATTTTAAAAATACTCCTACAAAATTAACCATTACTTTATAATATCATTTTAATTCTTTTTTTATTTGAAAAGCAATATTAAAAAATTACTATTAATAAAATCTTAGTTTTTTTTAAATTGTCTTATATTTGAAAACAAAAAAAATTTCTCCAATATTACCTTATAATTTAGAACTGAAGGAGTAATATTTTTCTTCTCACTCCAGAATAGTTAGGTAAAACCGTAAAAGCACTCAAATTAGGCAGAGCTCCAGAAATCATTCAAACTGTTAATAATTTATATAAATCTTGTTACAGATGTTATAATATCTATAATGATAATATTGATATATGTACATAAATCTTGTAATAATTAATTTTGTTGTGTGGGATTTCAATGTAATTCTCTCAAATAAACATTGATATCTATTACAGACTGGCATACAAGGCTTTCGCAATGAAAACAGGAACTGGACAGATAACTACAAACGCAAAGCAGTTTACAATGTGAAAGTTCACAGTAAACTGTTCAATATGAAGTAATATTCCTACTCAAAATTTCGTAATAAGCCCATGTAACTTATCAATATTGTGTATCTAAGATCTCATGTCAAAGCATCTCAAGGAAGAATATCCAAAGTTGCCTTCGGTTCCGCTCTACCAACGGACTCAGACTTATCCACAGATTTGCTAAAACGACATTCCTGAAACCACACCATGGGCTTCTCATTACTCACAGCCACGTTTTGAATGTAAAGCTGCTCTTACAATGTTTCCCCTCGTAATGAGTCCAACCTGAACAACAATTAAACAAAAATCAATCAGCGACAACAGCAAGAATCAAAAGAACGAAGCTTTTAGCATGAACAGTCTTCTCACCAGCTTTCCATTTTCACCTACTACAGGTAATCGGCGGTATTTTGTTTCAAGCAACAACCTAACACAATAAGTAATGAGGTCAGACATCAAGCAATTGGTGTTTGCAACCAAGACTGCTAATTTATGAATCTTGAACAATTTAGCTGATAGATTCATTGGCAACTCGTGAAATCAAAAGTGGCACCAAGTTGGCAACAATGATCTCACAAACGGGAGGAAAATGGTGAGTTAGAAATACAAAGATTAAAGATAGAAGTCAATTACATGGAGCTGGTATGAAAAATCCCTACCTGGCAGCATCTTCTAGGTTAGTCGATTCATGAACAACAAGTGGAGTTGGCGTCATCAAGTCACCCACAACTTTGCCATTAGTCTTACTAAGAAGCTTTTGTATCTCATTGAATGTCTGCCATACAATCAGTAGTTAGAAATTGCAGAATGCTATTGCTAGCGGCGGTTAACTGATAAGGTACACTAGTAAAATTTCTCATCTGCTCCATATATACTACTAGCAGTAGATACAATTTAGTTGTAGATCAAGAAAATTGGATTGTTTAAAAATACAGCGTATACAGACATGTGATGCGCTATTAGCCAATGAGATTAAAAGATGCGAGCAAGGAAATGAGTTTGTTACCTCAAACATGTTACGAATGGCTTTTCTGTATAATAAATAAACATGTAAAACTCCTCTTCGCAGAAAACAAAGACAGGAGGGAGAGAATAATTAAAGAGAAAAAATACGACTCTATTGCATTCTGGACGCAAAAGAGATGAAGTTAATTTTCCTTCATTTATAATTAATAGTAGTCCATCAAGCATTTCGCCAAAAAAAAAAAAAAGTACTGCACCCTGACTGACTGCATATCTAATAGACACTGGCTGATATACAATGGAAAGAAAATGTCAACAGGATTTAGTTTTTACTATTTACAAATTCAGATGTTCATGATGCAAGATTTTTGTATATTTTAGCCAAACAAATAAAGTGATTCCAGTTCCAGGAATCAAGAATTTCATGTATGTTCTCAGAAAAAGAATTTCTGCATAGGTACAGAGAGATGCATGGTTAAACTGTCCAAATGCAACTATGCAAATATCATCATTACCATAAAAGGCATTACCATAATAAGAGAAAAATAGATTCCGCATCAAACTTGTCAACAGCATTACCTTAAAACAAGTAACTCATATCCAGTGATTTGGTGTTTTATCTAATCATTAAGTAAAATTGTCTGATAGTAAAATATTTCATTATTGACAGCAGCGCTATGGAACAGCAAAATTTCACAAAGCAGTACAATAAAAACATAAACAACAATCAAGAAAGACTACATAGAAGTATAGAACAAATATGACATACTTTCCAACAACTGTCCACATCAGGAAACATGCTTGTTTCGCATTGACTGCCACCTAGAGACAAAAAAGAAACATTACGGCCAAATTTGCAATATACACAAAAAAGCAGACGAACAACATTACAACATCTGAATCTCTCTAATTTGTTCCAGATGAAATAAAAGGTGAGCTGCCTGATGATAGACTAGAGATATAAAATTAGAATTAAAACCAGATGTATGTGGAGAAATTGATTCACAAAAGTTTGTAAAATGATCTAATTTCTGAGTGGTTGGCTTTCAGACTTGTAGAGAAAATCAAAACCACCATTTTGGCTTATAACCAATTAAAACCCTTCTGTCTGGCACAAACACCCATGAAAGTGTCAGGTGGCTGGCCATATAGAATTATTTAGCATCTTAAACCAGCAACCTGTAAGGGCATAAAGTTTCATCTGAAATTTACATTAAAGAGTATGCATCTCCATTCTCCAATTTTTTGATGCTAACAGCTCAGATATGTCAGTCTAACTAGAGTAAACAACAAACTGTAAACATTTCTATCATCTTACATAGACCTCGATTTACTTTGATGTTAATTATGCCAAATAATTGCTGCCTACAAGGTGGACAAAATGAAATGAAATAATATTTCCACTTTCTTATAATGATGTTTTTATTACCTGATATTGAATCAATTGCTAACAAGTCATAGTCTGAGACAACACCAACCTGCAGCCCAAAAAGAAATCTCAAATGAGGAATTGAAACAACAGGGTCCCACTATGCCCCGAGTAAGAGCACTTAGGACCATGCCAGGGCAAAATGTACAATTTCTCCCAATTAAAATCTCATGTCTTATCGATTTGACACTAATAATCTTCAAAGATATTACATTACTCTAATAATGGCCTTATTAACAATTTGATTATACATTTTATTCTTAACCTGCGTCGCAAAAGGTGCAGAGGTAGCCCTATTCACCTAAATGATCTTCAGGAACGAAGTTAATAAAAAATTAAAGGGAAACAAAGCGCTAAAATTAAATAATAAGAAAAAGAAAGTTTGATACTGCTCGTTCATAAGAAGCCATATATTTATAATTTGCCATCTTCGATAGGATGGTACAAACGTTAGTTGTCGTTATTATTGTTAACAGGGTCAAATAAATTTAAAATTTACCAAATTCCAATCATCATCGATTACGGGAAGGCCGCTGATTCTGTTGTTAACGAGAGCCTCCAACGCTGTGACAATAAAAAAAAAACGTATGATCATTATGGAAAGAGAAGAATCACAAAACAAAGATAGATCCATCCATTATAAATTCGTAGCAGTGCTAACCTTCCTCAACAGTAGTGGTGATTTTCACAACGTGCAAGTTTTCCTTCTTCGTCATGAAATCAGCAACTCTATATATTCCGTTCCTACGCTGAAAATAAGATACCAACATTAAAAAACACAACATGCATGCAAAGAAAGAAACAACAACGACAAGTGAGGTATTGATCCGTACTGGAACAGAGTTGATGCGGGGGCCAGATGACCCAAGGGCCACGGGGAAACGTCGTCGTTTAAGGACGGACGAAGCGAGAAGGGAATGCCCAGAATAGCATTGATGGAGGTGGTGAATGAAAAGGGGGGAAGAGGCAGAAAAGCGGGAAAGAGGAAATGTGGTGATGGAATTAATCGAAGCCATGAAATTAAAGAAAGATCTTGAAATCTGGTTCGAAGCGAGAGAGACTATGAAGTGAGAGAAGAAAATGAAGGAAAAGGAATCACTGGGTAACAAGATCGGAGAAGAATTTAAAGCAGAGATCAAAGTAGGAGGCAGGAAGAGAGTAGAAGACGTGCACGTATTTTACTTTTCTGATTTCGCGGGCGCTGCCCGGCATCTGTTGAACGCGGATTCCACGACCGCGAGACCGAGAAAAGTCGGTGTTCCAGAAATTTGGCCACACTGAAATAATTGAAATTAATGAATACAATGAAAATTATTTAACTTCAAATTCATATAAAGTATTAAAATATAATTATTTCTTTCATTTAAAAATATAAAATATTTTTTAAAAAATTAAATATTTAAAAATATAAAATATTTTAATCTTTTAAAATATAATTATTATTTTTTTAAAGTGTTCATATTAATAATAATTTTATAATTATTATTAGGTGTTTAATGAAAGTAAATATAAAAAAAATTAATTTAAAAATAAGTAATTATTTTATTAAGAGGTGAGATTTAATTAAAAATATTTTATATTTTTAAATGAAGAGAGTATCTTCTTTCCATTGTGCTAAAACTATAGAGAGCACCTTTCTATTTTTAATTTTTAATATTGCCAGAAATATTTTGTTAAATATTTTAAAATATTTTAATTTTTATTTTTAATTATTTTAAAAAATTGAAATTATTAATTTTTTCTTATAATTTAATTATCTATTCTCTCTCCCATCAATTTAAAAAATTTTAAATAATTAAATATGATAATATTAAAATAAGTAATTTAAAAATATTGTGTTCAAATTAATAAAATTTAAAGAAAATTAAACTTTAATTATATTGAATAATTTATTTATTATTATATATTACATTCACATTTCAGTAATTTCTTTACACAAGTGTTTGAAATATTATTTTAGAAAACTCATATATATTTTTTTAAAAAATTATTAAGTAAACTATTTTGCAAAAAAAAGTTTAAAATATGAATAAAAAGTTTAAAAATTATATAAATTAAATTTCTGGATATCTTAAATAATTTTTATATAATATCTATATTTAAGGAGGATATTTTGATCCTATATATATATATATATATATATGATATAACAATCAATTAATAGTTGTGTGAATGAAAATAAAATTTTAAAAATAAAATGAATGTTTGTGTTTTAAAACTTTTAATTTTAAGGGAGGTTTATACATGTTTAGATAATAGATGAGATGTATCTATAATTAAAGTAAACTATGAGGAAAGTCAATGTATTTTACTTATTTATTTAAGTGTTGATTTACTTTCTTTTTTTTTTTAGTTTAAAAGATCTAGGAAAAATAACAAAGGGAGGAATAATGACAGTTAAGAAAATTGACTTTTAAAAAACCTCAGTTGGAAAGTAATGGAACTTTGTCAAGAACATACTCACTCCGTTTAAAAATATAAAATATTTTTAATTAAATCTTACCTTCAATAAAGTAGTTATTTACTCTCAAATTAACCCTATCTTTTTATATTTATTCTTATTAAATACCGTATAATAAATATAAAGTCATTTTTAATATGGATACTTTTAAAAAAATATTAATGATTACATTTTGAAAAACTAAAAATGTCTTATATTTTTTAACATTCAAATTTTTAAAAAGTATAAAATATTTTTTAATAGAGGGAGTATAATTTAGCTAGAGTCAGCTTTTTAATTGTTTTTATTTTTCTTCAAAGGGAAAAAATAAATTGTTCTTGATATTTTTTGACTGCATAGTTTTATTTTTTTGGGGGCTAATAAAAAGGGCATAGCCCAGGAGAACAGGAAAAAAACTCAAGCAAGACCTACCACCTGCTCAACCTCTCCACAATTGCAACCCCGCGGCATCTGCCATATAAATCTGATCCACCTTCTCAAGAGACTGTCACCAGTCACCACTCGCTCCACTCTAATTTAAGTAAGGCCGTTTACAGGTTTGGTTTGGTTTCAGTTTTTTTTTTAAAAAAAAATCAAATCAAACCAAATCAATTAACTCACTATAATTTGAAACCTATTTGACTTTTTCTCCAATCAATTTGATTCAATTTGATTTATATTTAAATTAAGTTTAATTTTTTTTTCATGAAATATTCTTTATAATCATAGATATATAGATATATATACTCATACTCATTGATACTTTTTAACTATTAATTACCATTTGTAATAAAAAAATTTCTTGAGCATCAAATAATATTTTTAACAATTAATTATCATATTTAACTGTTTAAAATGAATATAATATATTTAAAATATTGATTTTAAAATAAAAAATTAGCATAAACAATTATAGATAACATGTTTCTAATTGTATCGTATTTTTATTTATAATTTACAAATAATTAAACTTGAGAAAGATAAAAAAACTTAGGCAAATTTATAAAAATATATATAATAAATATAACAAGGCTTGGTTTGATTTGTTTAAGTTTCTAAAAACAAAAATCTAAATCGAATCAAGCCAATTGATTTTGTTAAAAAAAAAAAACCAATTTTCATTCATAATTGATTTTGACCAGTTCATATAAATTTGGTTTTGGTTGATTTGGTGTAATCAATTTGAATTAATTTTGAACACCCTTAAATTCAACTATATCCTACGAGTAAATCAGCCAGCTAGTTCCCTTCTCAATGCACATGCTGGAGGGAGTGTTCTTATAATTTTAGAGATGAAATCTCTCTTTTTTGGGCTAGAACAAATTTTGATTTATATTTTATATTAATTTAATACATTTATTATTGAATATTACGTTATATTTGATAGTGATAATTACTTATTAGTTATTGAACATAAATAAATAATGTTATTATTTAAATTGATAAGTTAATAATTTAATTTGGACTATATACGATAAAATATAAAAGTGAAATTAGAGTAACTATAATGTGGGTTCATATTTTGAACAAGTTCAATTTAAGTAGCATTTGGCAAGCTTTATATTTTTTAATATTTTATCATTATTTTTTAAAAAATATATTTAGAAGACTATTTTTATTCTAAAAAAATATTTAAGATACGAATATTATTTTTTTCAAAAAAAAATATTTACAATTCAATTTAAGTAAATCATGTTGAATAGATGCTTTGGGGGACAACACTGAACACATATAGATATATAAAAATGTGATTCATAGAATGAAGTTTAAATAACATGTTTTATTTAAAATTAAAATTTTAATTCTCAGGAGCATAATTGAAATAAGATCGATGTGTGGATATTAGTTATCTAGTTATCAAAAATAGCATCCATACGTTAAAAAAATAGTATTTCTTATTTGATCGGAGTCCAACTTCAAAATATTACAGATATATTATAAAAGGGTTATGACCAACATGCTTTTACCTCATTATCTTATTCTCAAGAATTGACACAGAATTAAATTTGATGATGATGAATTCAGTTGACAATGAATTATCTGGTGAGAACATAAGGAATCTATTTTTAAAATATTAGACAATATGTCAAGATACCATATTTAAGGAGGGTTTTATAATATTAACCAAAAAATAAAAAATTGAACCAAAGAAGTATGAATTATGATAGTGATTAAATTCTTGGTGGAAAGCGTGCTCTAAACAGGTGTCCTTAATTGTTCTCGGATTAATCTGAGTCAAAAACTAGAAATATTAAAAAAAAATTTGAACCGTGATGGATTGAATTAAAAAAAAAAGACATTTGTGATGATTTTAAATAAAATTAAAAGTCAAGCAATAATTCAGGGGAAGACTGATCAAAGTATCAAACCGACCATAGAAGATGTACGAAAGAGGGAAGGGCGAAACCGGTGGGCTTTGTTTTGTTTTTTCCCCTTATTTTCCTAACAGCCCTTTAGAATGTTAGACTGGGTTTGGAAATTTTCAAAGTCGATAATGGGGTTGCCGTGGAAAATGATTAAATAAGGCAGGGCTAAAAGCAAGGTACCTAAAATTAGATCGATTATTGATTCAATTATGACATTAGGTTATAGGTTAATGATTCAATTAGGATTGAATCGAGGGTTAAATCGACGACAAATCAATTATGATTAAAATAATATAATTTAAATAAAACAACATTGATTATAAAAATATTTAATCAAATCCAACCATTAAAAAGTATAACAATAATAAAATACAAAATTTTAAATATCTATCATTATAATTACAACCCTTCAATGATTAAAAAGTTTTAAACTAATATTCACCAACACCAAAATCATCATTAATTTCATTCAAATCTCCAAACTTAAAGTAACAATCAGCCAAAGTAAATAAAAATGCAAAGGGGAGAAGGAAGAGAAGACGAGATATGACCTACAGAGACTAACATAATGCAAAGAGAATGCAAGCATGAGCTAAGATGTAGAAGACTTCAGCAGCAAAGGTGAGGAGAGAAAGAACGTTGGTGGCAGACAACGAGACTCAAGCACGAGTTGTTGAGCTAAGCTGTCAAGTTGGGCTGTACGCTGTTGACGACAAGAAGAGCTACAGCATTTTATTAGGTTTACGACAAGCAGAGGTTTACAATGAATAAAGGAGAAGAGATAGGGGTGAGAGCCATTGGCCAATTAGGTTAGGGCAAAAGATGAATGTTTGCATTGATGCACCCTGCTTTGCCTCTTATTTCATTTTTTGTTTTTCATTTCTTCATTCAATTTTAGAATTTGAAAAACTTCAAAAAAAATCCCCCAAAATAGTATTTCTGGAGGTTTTGTGGAAAAAAAAAACCCTACCAACCGATTAGGTTAGCCAAGTTATATCAAGTTGATCGGCTCACTCTGAGTCAACCACTGATTGGGTTGGGTAGAAACCCAAACTGATAAAGAGATCAGGTTATCAATTTACGAGTTGACCTAGCCGGTCTGGTCCGAATTTTATACCATGCTTAAAAGTGTTTATAGGCACAATTGACAAGTCTCTATTCACCATATTTTTAAATAAGCAAATTATCATATTGATTGGTTGGCTTATCAAGCTGGCAATGATAGTTTCAAATCTAATATTAATATTTTTAATATTGATTGGTCCAGTTTTACACACATTTCCTAATACATAATTTTAACTGTGACCTTGTCAATTTTAAAAACAAGAAAAAGTATTATTACCTCAAATTTTGGCTTGTTATAAAGTTCAACCCAATTTGCTTGTTTATAGGATCATGCCCCAAAATTTGGATAATATCTTTTTATTTCAAGT